GCACCTTCTGCCCACCCCTCCCGCCTTCCTTTCTAACTCTACCTCTCATATATATGTATTATTTTCTTCTATTCCTAAGTAAACTACTTTAAGGCAGGGACTGACTTGTTAGCTTGAATTTGTATTCCCAGAGCTTAGTATAGTTCCTGGCACAGGGTAAACACTTAGTAAATGCTTTTTTCATTTAACCATTCATTCATTCCTCTTCCTTCCCCCGCCCTGCTTCATCCATGGTATTGTGTAGCACAGATACTTAGCAGACAGACAGGGCAGCAAGCAGTTTTAAGGAGTGAGACCCCTGGCAACAAAGAAGAGAATCAACTGTGGATGGGAGAATTCTCTCTAGCACTTGGCAACTGAACTTCAGAGAGGAGCAGATCCAGGGAACCTAGCTGAACAACCAGCCTACAAAAGACGCTGTAGCCAGGGGAGGACAGCTTGAGTACAACTCTAGAAGACAAAGCCTGCAGTTAGAGGTAAAAATTGTTTGACCACACATTTCCTACACGCTGCATCTCCACCAATGTACTCTGTGCTCATTCTTCCCCCAGATTCCATATGTATTTGTGAGAGAATAACCTCCACGTTATGGGAGAAATATTGTATAGGTACTGCTCTTGCCATGCTATCTTAGTAAATGCTTAGTAAATTCTTAGTAAATGCTTAGTAAATATTTAGTAAAAAAGTAAGTTAATTGTGTCTTCTGGATGTTGTTTAGTTGTTTCAGTCATGTCCAACTCTTCATGACCCGATTTGGGGCAGAGATACTTCAGTGGTTTGCCATTTCCTTCTCCAGTTCATTTTACAGATGAGAAAACTGAGGTAAACGGGGTTAAGTGACTTGCCCAGAGTCATACAGCTAGTAAGTGTCTGAGGCCAGATTTGAACTCAGGAAGATGAGTCATCCTGACTTCAGGCCCAGCACTCTATCCAATTGTACCTATTGGCTGTCTATTACAGGTAAGCTCATTAGTGAGAGTGCCTAAGTTTGGGGAGTGCAAACTTAGGGACTCTCAAGTCTGGAGATGTAGCAGCCCTCTAGCAGATCCAACCCGCAAGAATGTGTGCATTCTAATGACTTAGAGTGCAGACTTGGGTGTGAATTCTGCCTCAGACACTGCTCAGACATATACACATACACTGTACAACCTTGAGTATGTCTTAAGCTCCTAATAATTTAATCTCTTTGAGTTTCAGTGTTCTCATCTATAAAAATGAGGTAGAAATAACCTCTATCTCCTGGGGCTGTAGTGAAAATCAAACTAAATAAGATATGAAGTGCTTTGTAAACTTTAAAGCATTACATCAGTATCAATTATTATAGTAAGATTAATCTTCCTTACCATTAGCATTTTTGGTTTGGTTTTGTTTGTTTTTACTTTTTGCTGAGGCCATCAAGTGTCTGAGGCTGAATTTGAACTCTGGTCCTCCTGACTCCAAGGCCAAAGCTCTATTCACTGTGCCACCTAGGTGTCCCCTTCCTTACCATTAAATAATGCAATTGAACAAATTTCTATGGTATGTCCCAAAGTAGTGCAGCCAGGTAGGAAAAACTGTGCTGAGCCTCCTCCTTAAATGGAGGTTTTGGAGTTGATGACTCCACTTTCTAATCAGAGGAGAGTAGAGGGTAGTAAGAAGCAAGGATGATTGGATTTTATAAAATAATGAGGTTTTCTTGATGATGAGCTTACTGGGTCAGAGTAGGGGAGTCAGAAAAGTCCCAAAGTAATTCAGCCAGGTGACAAATGAGGAGAATAGAATGTAATTTCAGAATTTGCTTTTCAGGACTCTCTTTCCCCTTTTTTTCTCTCTCTCTATACATACACATGTATATACACAAGTGTATATACATTATAATATTATAATATAATTTTAATTATAATAATATATTATATATTATAAACACACATACAACTAATTAATTTTTTAAAAAGGAATAAAAATTTTTAAAAATAAAGAAATCCCTGTTTCTTTCCAGGATATATAAAGTCCAGTTTCTCATAATATATACCACTTTAAAAAGCTAAATTATAAAACACCATTGTCAAACTTTTCTTTCATAGGAAGAAGTATACAGAAACTGGTTTTTGGCTGAAAATAAACTCTTGAAATGCTTGATTGGGAGCAACCTTACTATCTGGAACTAGTTATGACTAAGCATAGTTTGACCTTATCCATTGTTGCTGTTTTTAATTCTGAACTTAACATATAGCTAATAAGAGACACATTTTCATACACAAGGTAGAAGAGAAAATGGGATTGTGGATGAAGCTGCAATCTACATTATGAACTGTTTGCTTTTCCATCTAAGTAGATAAGAAATTCAACATTTTCTATCCTGTTTGTCCATGTTTCCTATTGACATTCTATGCACCTTAAAAATGCTTCAATGACCCACTTTTTTTTACTTTTTAAAAATTTTGGTAGACTATTGATTATTGATATTAGATATGCCCCAAAATGGATTTATCTTCCTGGAAGGTGAGTGCAATGTTTCATCTTCAATCTTTCAGACTTGTTTTGTCATTGTGTTGATCACAGTTCTAAAGTCTTTCAAATTTTTTTTCTCTATAATGTTGTTTCTCTAAAAATGTTTTGTTATAAATGGTTCTTGTAGCTGTTCATTTCATTCTGCATTAGTTTACAAAGGTCTTCCCAGTTTCCTCTGAAACTGTGCCTTTTTAAAAATCAATGGGATGTACAAGAATAGCACAAAGATGATAATACCCTTTGGAAAGGACTTATGGGGAGAAGTGATGGCTAGGTCTCTGACGATTTTGTCTTTGAAAGATGGAGTAGACTCAGACTGTTTTAAGGAGGGATCTCAACTCTGTGGCCAAGTCCTGTTCAGGTATCCTTTCTATCTGGATGACTCAGTTTCTTAATAGATGACACACAAACACTTGACACTTACTAGCTGTGTGACCCTGGGCAAGTCACTTAACTCCAATTGCCTAAAAAAAGAAAAAAAAGGAAAAAAAAAGTTGATGACACAGATGAGCTTATGGGTCCTTAGAAGCAAAGATTAAAGAATCACAGTGACTGTCAAAGCACTTCTTCTGTGGGAAGTGTCCATATTAAACTCCAAAACTAACTCTCTCCAGTGTAGCTTTTCAAGGCAGTTGGACAATTTACTTTTTGTCCTACAGTTTTCATTTATGGTTTCTTGAAATATAGGTCTGAAAAAACAGGCTTTAAAAAAGTCCATTGTGTTTCAAATAGAGCTACTTGAGGTGCCTTTAAACCCAAACCACTGGCTCACATTGAATGGTCAGTAACATGGAAGCCTCTCTGGTTCATTATTTAGGTTTTGATGGCTTAGAATGAGTGTAAGTAACAATTGTTTTCTATTTTGGCCAGAAACTCTAAGGGTCTTTCCCTCTCAAACTGATAGTTTTGTGATGGTAAATTGGGTCATCTTTTGTCTCAATTCTTAACCTAGCTCTTACTCAAGGAATGGTCTTGCTCAGTCAAACTGAGACCTGGGAAAGACCTAGTTTAGAAAGAACAAGGTCACCCACTGCATCTTGGGCCATCCCTAGTCATCTACACCAGTGCTTCTTAAACTGTGGGTTTCATCAGTATGATAAGCAGCAGTTTAAGAAGCACTGGAGGGGTCTCAGAATGGAAGAAGTTTAAGAAGCCTTGATCTAGACTTTTGTCTTACCACTGGACTTCAATGACTGGCAGAGTGAAGCTGATGACACAGCTCTACCTCACCTAAAACCAAGTCACTTACAAGTCAAGACATTACCCTCACGATGTCACTGGTCCTCTTCATACAAGGAAGGACAAACAACATTGTCTATTGTGGGGGGGGGGGGTTATATGTGGTATGATGATTTCTGGAGGTCTTCAAGCAGAGGCCAGAATCGGGTGGGGAACCTGTGTCCTCGAGGTCACATGTGCTTTTCTAGGTCCTTGGCCTCAGTCTTTTCACCGAGTTCAAGTTTTACAGAACAAATCCTTTTATTAAGGGGATGTTACATATATCACTCACAGGGGCTGTCATATAGGTAACTCCTATTCAGGTATGCCTTAGATGAGATGATATCTGAGGTCCCTTCCAGCTCTTATTTTCTGAGATCATTTGCCATAGATTTGTAATACTAGGCTCCCCTGACACCTACCAGATCTAACTCCTCTGTCAGTAAATTTAGTGTGTGTTCAGGGGATGCAAATTACATGAAGTAAAAATGTAATTTAAAAAAAAAAAGGTCAATCAGAGGACCTTCGTACATTCTTAAGCCAAATATAAGTGATTTTTAAATTATCTGCTGTTTGGAATTGTTTGCATCTTTGTAACTCTTAAATTATTACTGTAAAATCACGAATTACGCAAGCGGGACACACTAAAAACGGAAAAATGGACTGCTAGGTGAAGGGGCATAGGTTAGTAAGATGCATATCTGGGGTGCACACGTACTCATGGACAACACTTTTGAAGGGCCTGCGTACATACAACTGGGACAACTCACACCTCCGATGCTTCAAAGCTGCCAATGGCCTGAAATCACGCTTTGTGTGTTTTAATGCATCCGAAAACCGTGATGCCTGATGCAAACTGTTCTTTGGGTAGGTAACACGACGTCTTGGAGTGCACGCACGCCTTCCCCGGCCCTGAGCACACACGTTCTTCAAGCGGGACGGTGCCCAAAGACCTTTAGTCTCCGCAGGGTGCCCGCCCCCGAACCAGAGCGAGCCTTGGGTCCTGGGCCGCGCCCCTCTGGGCACCCCCGCAAGGGCGCCGGGCGCCGAGGGGCAGGAGCACGCCGCCCGCCGCGGTGCCGGGAAACGCTCGCCTGCGCTCGCAGATACCTCCCAGGAGACGGCACATCTCGGCCCGCTCTCCACCCGCCGCGTCCCCACGTGACCCTCCCGTTCTCAGGGTTCCGCCGGAGGGAGGCGTGGGACTAGAGGGAGAGGGAGAAAGAGAGACTCGCCTTACGTGCGTCAGCGCGATGACGTAGCACGTCCGGGCTGGCTGTCCGCCATCTTGCCCGTCTCTAGCTCTCTCGCTCTCCTTTACTGGAAGCGGCGGCCGTGCTGGGTCGGTTTGTCTGAGGGCGGCCTCTGGTTTCCTGGCTCAGTGGCCCGCCACCCACCTCCCCCCTTTCCCCCTCAGCCCTTCCCCAGACCCTTCTCCCTCCCGGACCGGAGCCGGGCGGAGACTCCTTTGCGGACGCGGGCGCGACACTTAGACACACACACGCACACACACGCACACACCCGCGTTCTCCACCCACCCACACCGGCCGGTAAGGAGCTTGCGCCGCGACGGGGGAGGGGGCCCTGCCGGACAGGAGGGGAGGGAAGGGGCAGGAGCTCGCCCTGGGCCGGGGCGGGGGGCTCCGGGGATGGGGGGGCGGTGCGGCGTGGGGTCCGTGTCTCCCCTCGCCTCGCCCTCCTCCTAGGCCGTGGTCGAGGCCTCCGCGGACCGGCAGAGCGGGAAGCGGGCGCCACCCCCCCATGTGGCCCGCAGGGTGAGTGAGGCCCGGGCCCGGGCCCGTCTCGGCTGGGTGGGGGGCTGCTCGTCCCCGGAGGTGGGCGGGCGTCTCCTTTCGTGGGGGAGCGTCCCTTCGAGAGTGTGTGGGAGGGACGGGGTTAAGGATCCAAGCCGGCCGAAAAAAGAGAAAGAGAAAGAAAAGCCTCTTCTCGCGGAGCCGGGACCGATCCTACTTCCGCCGGGGACATGCCGCCCAAGTGGGAGGAGGGCGTTGGTGTCTTTCCTCCCCCGAGGCCCTGCAGCGCCTTGGGGGGAGGTGGGAGCCGGGAGCCGGGGGCGCCGCCGGGAGGCACCCCGGGGGTGAGGAGAGGAGGGCCCACACGAGCATCCCTGGCCTCGGCCCCGGAGCCAGGGCGCTGGGCCGAGCTGGAGCCTCCTTACAAAGGGACAGCGTGCCGGACTTCGAGCTGGGGCCGGCAGACAATGGGATGTGTGCCGCGATGTTCAGCCGGGATGGGTTTTTGATTTCCCGAAATCCCCGCTTTGCTGATTTCCCGAAACCGGCCGGATTTCCGCGTGGGTTCTTCCTCAGTTGAGGCTGTGCAGTGCACGGGCTGCGAGCGGGGGTCCAGATTCCAGATGGGGTAGTGCCGAAAGGGAGTAGGAGGAGGAAAAAAAGAGGAGGGTTTCTCTTTCTATGGCACCGGAAAGATCCCAGGTTTTGTTTGTTTGTTTGTTTGTTTTTAAAGCTGTGACAGTGGATGACTTTCTCCAAAAAGAAACAATAGGGTGAGCTCCAACTCCTGTATAAAAGTGGATTTTCTTTTCTAGCCTATGATAATTAAGGTGGTGTTTTAGGGGTGTGTGACTGCAGTTATCTCTTCTTGCTCCGTATGGATCTCAGAAAAGAAGGTTTAGAAATCTTGCTTAGAAAAATTGAAGTAATTTTTTTTTTGTGATGACACAGGATTGAGGTTGGTGATCAACTTTAAGATTTGATGAGCTAATGAATCAAAAAATTTATGGTTATTGTATAATCTATAGTAAATATGAACTGTAGTTTGATATTTAGTGAGAAGTTTTATTTAATTTGCCTTCAGAATTAGTTGTTCTGTGAAGATGACTTGGAAAACAGATTTGTGTTTTAGAAGGAGGAAGACCTTAAATATGAGTGTATTTCCACTTGATTGATTCAAAGTAACATACTTTTTAAAATAAATTCCAGATCTGACAACATTCCTTTCTGAGCTTTTTCTCTGAAGCAGTTAACTATCTCTAAATTCCAAGTTTAGTTCTAGGCGAAATAAGTATTTAACAAGTCTTTAAAAAAAACGATTTCTTCAACTTTATCTTGCCTTAATCCTTTCTTTCTGCCTCATTAACACTTAATAGCCTATTCATTTCACTGATCAAGACCCCTTCCTTTTCAGAATCTCCCCTTTTTGCTTGTTTACTATAACAATACCCCACCTTTCAGTTTTTTCCCCTCTACTTGAAAATATTGCCCCTTTATCTCTGAAGTAGCTTTTGTAGTTACATTCTGTTAACCCTTTTCCATTCCTCCTTCACTAGTTTATAGTTTTCTAGTGTAAAAATTTATTTCTAAAGACTTATTCAAAAGTCAGATTATTTCTTAACAGTTGAGCATTGAGTTGCAAGTGCATCAGTTGGGTGACTGCAAATGATGACTTTAATATATTTGTGGAAGACAGGGTATGTAGCATAGTTGCTAAAGAATAGTGTTCTTAGGCATGACTTTAAAATTCTCTAAGACTAACTGCCTTATGACTAATCTACTTCCAATATATGGATACTTGTCACATTATGAAAAGAGTAACATAATGAAAGTTCATCTGAGTGTACATTAACTATGTTACTTAGGAATCTGACACTTAATATGTTGGTTTTCTGAGTCATAATACTTTCCATTTCTGACTAGTGTTGTTGGTACTGACAGTTGAGTCAGGTTAGCTTTAGAAAAGCATGGAGAGAGAAAAACTTTTTATTTACTAGCATAAAAAGATATTTTTTACAGAAATGTTAAACCCAGATTGATGTTAAGCTGTATTACATCTTTTATCCTCTCTTCTCTTGCATACCCACCATACTAGATGAGGTCTAGACTGTTGCAGTGGCCTCTTAATTTGTCTGTATGCCTCAAGTCTCTCTCTTCTCCAATGTTAGTTGATAGAACTATTTTTTATTATGGACTGTTACCTTCGTGTACCTGCCAATGTGATTCTCCTAAAGCCCTTTTTCAAGAAACTTCAGTGGCTATTACTCTTAAGATCAAATACAAACTTCTTCCAATTTTAAAGTCTTTCACAACCTGACTCCAACCTACCCTTTCCAGCCTTTTATGTTATTTCCCTTCACTTGCTGATATCCAGCCAAACTGGCCTTTGTGCTGTTCTCACACATAACATCCCTTGCCTTTGCACAGGCTTTCCCACTTGCCTGGAATACTCTGCTAGCTCACCTTTCAGTGTTTCTAGTTTCCTTAAACAGCTAAGTGCAAACCTGACCTCCTACATGAGACCTCTCTATTTCTGTGCCTTCCCCAACTACCCAAATTCATTCATTTTGTATATGTAATGTATATGTGTGCCCTTCGTAGAATATACCCTCATGAGGGCAGGGAGTTTTATCTTTTTTTTTTTGTCCTCTTAGGCCCTATGGGAATGAACCTCTTCAGTTACTTCTCAGTTTCTTGCAATGTATTTTCTTCAGACCTGGCCACTTGAACTGAAACTGCTTTCTCCAAGTTAACAGTGATCTCTTAATTGCCAAATTCAGTATCCATATCTCAATCCTCATATTTTTGACCTTTACAGGATTTGACACTGTTAACTACTTACTATCCCCTCTGACTGCTTTTACCTGTACCTGCTATCTTCCTTACTGTTCTTCTCAGTCTCTTCTGCTGGATCATCATATATATTCTCTTCTCTGTGGGTGTAGCCTAAGGCTCTGTCCTAGCCATCCCTTTTCTCTATCTCAGTGACTTTACCAGCTTTTTGAGTTCATTTATTATCTCCAAAAAGGTAACTCCCAAATCTTTACATCTATCTTCAAAATGTCTCCTATTTGTCCCTTTTCTCTCCTGGCACTGCCACCACTCTGGTACAGGCCCTCATCACCTCATGCCTGGACTATTGCAGTAGCTTTTTGGTTGGTCTCCCAGCTTGAAATCTCAAGATGATACAGCCCACCCATCCTCCACTCAGCTGCCAAAATGATCTCTAAAGTGTAAGTTTAACCATGTGACACTCCCTCTCCCCCCTACACTCCCCAACTCAAACTCCAGTGGCTCCCTAATTTCTCTAGGATCAAATATAAAATCTTCTGTTTGGCTTTTAAAACCCCTCATAACCTGACCCTACAATCCAGTGATGCTGGCCTTCCTGTTGAGCCTTGCACAAGACACTGCATCTTTTAACTCCTACAATTTCACCAACTTTTTTGCATTTCTGCAGTGTTTTCCCTCCTTGTCTCCACCTCCCATCTTCCATGATTTCCTTCAGGTCTCAGCTAAATTTCCACCTTCTGCAGGAAGCCTTTACCAGTCCTTCCCTCTAAGATTATCTCCAAATTACCCTGCATATAACTTGTATGTACATAGTTGTTTACATGTCATCCTCATTAGAATGTGAGTTTAATCAGGGACAGTGGTTTTTTCCTTTCTTTCTATTGCCACCATTTATCCTGAAAGCTTAATAAATGCATATTGGCTTAACTAGCCCTAGTCACTCCTGTTGTTGCATTAATAACTGCCTGTTAGACAAATATCAAGTGGATGTCTGGCAGACATCTAGTTGTTTTCAGTTGTTTTTCAGTCATTTCTGACTCTTGACCCCATTTGGGGTCTTCTTGGCAAAGATACTGGAGTGGTTTGCCATTTCCTCCTCCAGCTCATTTTACAGATAAGGAAACTGAGGCAAACAGGGTCACACAGCTAGTAAGTGTCTGAGGCTGGATTTGAACTCAGGAAGATGGGTGTTTCTGACTGTAGGCCCAGCACACTATCCACTGCACCACCTCAGCTGCCCTTATCTAGTAGGAATTTCTGAAATAGAACTCATTACCTCTCTCCAAAAACTTAACCCCTCTTCCTAATTTCCCTATTTCTGTCAGGTGTATCACCATCCTTTCAGTATTCCAGATTCACAACTAGATCGTTCTTGACTCTCTCTCCCTTGTCTCACATTCCACTCAGTTACTAAAGTTACCCCCCGAAACATAAAACAAATACAGGCTTTTTAAACTATCAATCATAATGGATTAGCTTCATGTTAGAAAACAATGAGATAGGATGATGAAATAGCTCACTTTAATAGAGATTTTCCTCTCCAGTGACCCTGTCATAGTAAGTTCAAGTATTATTCCCATTTTACAATTGAGAAAACTGAGGCTCACGTATAAATTTCTTGCTAAGTAGCAATGCAAAGGAACTGAGGCAGATAGATATTGTAGTTTATAGAGTGCTGGACTTGGAGTCAGGAAAACCTGAGTTTGAATCAGACGAGCTATATTGTCTTATCGTCTTAATTTTTTTCACCCAGTTTCCTTAGCTGTAAAATGGGCATAATGACACCTGCCTGACCTCAGGATTGTTGTGAGGATAAAATGCAAAGTGCTTTTCAAGTGTTATATAAATGAAAATATTAAGAATGATAATTAGCCCAGGTGACCAAATTCTGAGTTTAGTATGCCTCATTATACCATGCTAAGCAGATTTTTGCTCATTTGTGCTGTTGTCACTTATCTAAAGACTTTTAAAGGTGTTCCTGGTTTTCTTATTTGAATGTAGAA